CCTTGTTAGTAGCTTGTACTTGAGTTTGTTGATCAGTTAGTGCACGGTAAGAAAAATATCTAGAAAAATGTAGTAATTTTTCAGGACATTTTCCATTATCCATTGTAACCCTGTAACCCTGAAAACACAAAATACAATGCGTAATTAAAAATGCAGGTAAAAAAAAACCTGTGGAAAAATTAATACAGAAAATTCCTTCATATTAACAGTAGATTGTGCACTATTTTTTTACAGACTTTTAGCACACTAACTACTAATACACAGCTTTAAAGTATAATTGTTCAGAATGTGTAGTTTTACTTGTTTACTAGCTAATAATAAAAAAATGTAATTGTAATCGTTCAAAAATGTGTATGTTTTCGATAATTCAATGTATTTAAAAATAGTTATTTATAATTTAATATTATATTATGCATTTATATTCTTTGCTGGCATTCGGGCATGCCAAACCATGCACGCAGCAGCCACTTGGTTTAGTTAAAAATAACAGTGTTCTGTTAATGTTGATGCTTTAATAACAAATATTTATCGGGAGCGTGTATGCTGGGATTTCATAAATTTCATGGAGAAAAAAGAAGCGTAACTAGTAATGTAACTAATTACTTTTGAAATAAAGTAATCAGAACAGTAACGTGATTACTTTTAAAAGGAGTAATCAGTAATTTGATTACATTTTCAGAGTAACTTGCCCAACACTGTTTATGAGTGACACCAACTATTATCTGCACAATCTGGAGCAAGAGAACAATATAGTTAGAGTTACTCCAGGAATCTGAAAAAAAAAAAACCTGACAGAAAATATCAATATAAAATTAAGACTAACCCCAGCTAACACAATGACATTTTAAGTCAACTGATCAAAGTGTGGACAGGCAAATTATATTTTTAAGTGTTATATGTATTTGAACAACATTTCCGCAATGTTTTATATTGTTTGATTTCATTTAATTTGGTTGTAACATTTCTAAGAGTTTCCGATTTCTACTAATAATTTACAAATGCACTAACAGCATGTCATGTTTTTGAAATGCTTTTGCAGGGTTTGTCCCTGCGGAAATCCTCCTGGAACATGATTTCAGCCAAACTGCAATTTTGTAAAACATCTGAAATCATCTTAAATCTTATGTATCTTTTTCAGAGTTGAATCTATCCAAAGTAGTCTACAATTACACTTGCATGTGTCAGACTCACTCCAAGAGCTGTGTTGATATGATCAAATATTAAGCTACAATACAGCATAAAAAGATCTCACATCTACAAAATATGTATTCTTGTATTCAGTTTTTAAGTAGAATTGAACTCTCAATAACTATTTTTTCCTTCTGCTTTTTGGTGAATTTTTGGACTTTTGATTGGAGTGTAAGAAATGTAATCTGCTATTAAAAAAAAGTTAACGTTCCTGTTTAGGAACATTTTAGTTGATAGAAATATGGCTAATTTTATGCTCAACAGCAAGGCTGGACAGAGAATATCATAAACCATAAATGAATCATGATCCAACTTCGTTGCTTTGATATAAATGAAGGTGGCACTTGGCCTGAAAAGTTTGCAAACGACTGCTTTATATAAAAATGTTTGCTAATTAAATATATTTATTGATTTTTAATTTCCTTTATTTTTTATTTTCATTGTACAGAGGAAGATTCAGTAGAGAAGCTGTAAAAACGAAAACATGAAAAGGGTTGATATCAAGTGCTCCAGTCATTTATTTTAGAAAAGCAGCCCCAAAGATCACAACAAAATTGAAAAAGGTAATAATCTTTACATAGAGAGAGAGGTAACACCACTTTTGTAAAAGAAAAAAATAAGTGTAATTAAATGTGTAATTTAAAAGTGTTGCGGGGTGCATGAGATTTGCTTTCAATCTTTTCACTACAATATTGAGAGACAAAATGTCATTGCATTACAAGCACAAAGAGCAACTTTGATTGTTTTGTGTGCTTATCTTGTCATGTAGCACCAGCAGTGGCGTCTTCCAGGAGCGGCTTGTGAAGTTCTGGATCCTCCACCGACTGCAAAACCACAAACAATCATGAACACACAGAGCAGCTCTCTGAAACTCTCACGATCAGTGGATCTGACTGATTGATTGTTGTAATAGTGCTGATGATTCAGTACCTTTGCATCTTCATCCTTCTTGCACAAAGCTTTTCCAGTCAAAACACAGAAACTGATGGTCACACAGAGCTGAAGGACAGACAGCACTATCATCATGATATCTAGTCCTCTGAAGATCATCTACAGGTGAGTAAAGATCAGAATGTCAGTTTATTAAAAGGAAAATCAAGTCTGTAAGACATTTATTAATAAAACACAACAGCCCCCCTTCATGTTTTCCCTATCCCTATTAGGAAGACTTGGAATAAAAGCACATTTGGACAATTTTTATAGTTTTTGTAAAAAAACATTCCTTATACTGTGAGTATTTTTAGAAGATGTGCAGTATCTAGTCTTACACCATCTAAAGAAAAGAAAGGTAATCATTACCTCAATGAGGTTCCTGTAGTACAGACAGATGTCATTTCTCCTACTCATTTCAGGGGAAGGCGTTCTATAACCATAACCATAACCATAACCATTATCATAACTTGAATAATAAGAATTGTAGGTTTCACAGTAGTCAGTATGATCATTTGCAAGGTCCACTGAATACAGCACAACAGCAGTGATAGCCAGTGCAGCACTGACTATGTGCAAAACCATCCCGATTATCACCTGAAAATAACAAACAATATATAAGACTTGCAAAACTGGACTTGTCAAAAACACAAATGCCTTTGATAGACACTTACCAGACAAAAATTGGGAAACCTAGCTGCAAGAATACACACGATTCCAGCAACAAGGAACTATAATAAGCAAAAGAAAAACAATAATCACATACATTTATTGACATTAATTGATTCACACCATTAATTGATTTAGAAACATAAAAATGATCAAAATGAGTCTTACCACACTACCGAGCCAAAAGGGTCCCTGGGCTATTCTATACATGTTATAGTACAACCCGACGCATGTAAACACAATCCCCACCGCAATATTGAGGACACCAGTTAACATCTGCACAATCTATGGAACAAGAGAACAGTATTGTTAAGAATATACCAAGTTGGCACAATGACTCTGTAAGTCAACAAATCACATTTTTGCTTTCAGTGTGGTGAGGCAAACATTTTTTAATGTTATAAATAAGTATTTTCACAACGTTTCCAAAATGTTTCATATTGTTTGAATAAATTACATATGGTTGCATAGCCTAAATAAATTTGCATAATACATTTTCTAAAGCACAACATGTTTTCGTATGTTTTCGAGACCCTTAGGGACATTTATTGGAAGAGATGGGAGGAAAAATTCTATTTCAGTAATTTTGAATTCTCTCATAAAAGTATCGCGTTCACCCAAGAAACTTTGTGCTCACTCACAAAAGCACTGAAATATAGTTTTTTCCTCTCAGATCATCTTTCCATCACAAAAAAAGCCCATTTCCCCCATGGAATGGAAAAATAAAAAAGGTCACTTTTTATCTCACAATTCGACTTTTTTCTTGCATTTCTTAATTTACATCTCACGATTCTGTTCCCCCTCCCCCCCATGAAATAAAAACCGTAATTGCAAGTTTATATCTCACAATTCTGACTTTTCTTCTCAGAATTGTGGGGGTTATATCTTGCATTAAGTAGTTAACATAAAATAAAAAAGGTAATTGTGACTTTTTAACTTACTTTTTAAGTGTGAGATATGAGCTGAGAGAAAAAAAAATCTGAATTGTGAGAGAAAAGTTGTGATTACATTTTCCCATTTTACCAACACCGTGTCCCTTTAGGCAGGGGCTCTGTGGTTTCATAACATTTAGGTGTTTTAAAAGATGTTTTTAATACATTGTGTACTAACATAATCTAACTCTAACCAAATTTCTGCATTTTTCATGGAATGTTTTTTAAAGTTCCATCCAAAAATCTACCCAAAGTATCCTAAAATCACAAGACCTGAACATATCAAAAAGGCATTTTGCAATTAATGTAAGTGTCAGACTTACTCCAAAACCTGTGTGGACGACCTTCAGTTCCCCTTTTTTGATGTCCTGGGACACAGAACAGACTGGACTGTAGCACAGAAAACCCAGAATCTGACACAGTACGGGCCATTTGCTCTTCGGGTTTGAGGCGATGGTGATGACCGTCAAACCCTCACCTTGAGACACTGTCAGAGGCATGCTGCAGACGAACAGATTCGGTAGGTAACAATGGCCAATCCTTCTGTATGAAACAAGAAGAAGAGCAAATTACCATTTCAGGAGAACCAGTATATTCATTAATTATATCAGGAGAGAGAGAGAGAGATAGACACAACTTTAACACTTTTAATGAACTCAAATAATAATAAAAAAGAAGAATGTAGCCTAAATTAAATATTCTCCACAGTATAAATATACATGATTTTCAAAACAGCATTGCTGACTGACTTAAGTTTTGTCGCCTATTTTGGAGGAAATTGTCCGCGCGAAAATCCACCTGCGTTATTATAATTTCTATATGGAAGTTGTGGTGCAGGATGTTTAACCACATCTTTAACATTCTTGTCTTTTTATTTTTGTTTTAAGTTTATTATATTATTGTTAATAATCTTAAGAAACACTGTGTTACCTTAAACTCAACTTGTGTGGCACGTCTGTGAGTCTCAGGGCAGATGAGTGCAGATAGCACGACTCTCTGGGGTTTTTTAAAGGCGGAGTTTTGATTTTTCCCGGCAGTGACTTCCTCATAAACTGTAAACAAGTGTAACAGGAAAGTTGTCCATGACTTGATTCACCGTTTAGAAACTGAAGATGTAAGTTGTTAATAATAACAACCAATGTTACTTTCCTTCACTCCACAATGTTTAAAATCACATGAAAGCAAGATTTTAAAAGGTTTCAGGGTGAATCTAAAATGTAGCTTCTGTAAATGATTGATTAGGCATGTAAACAGCGCCATCTAGATTGGTATTACGGTATAGAGCGAGACTGGGTTCATAAAGGCCTACAGTACTTGTCATGTTTTTAAGCTTAAAGGGGTCATATGATGCGATTTCAATTGTTCCTTTCTCTTTGGAGTGTTACAAGCTCTTGGTGCATAAAGAAGATCTGTAAAGTTGCAAACTTTTTAGCAACATCATATGACCCCTTTAAATATACACTTCTACACAGCAATTCATTTGGCTATGAAGAAGCTACTGCATGTATTTTGGAGTCAAATGCATCCTGTTTTTATTTATAAGTCATGATTCAAGATAAGTCATGAGTACTTGTAGTCGCTATTTACACGATGAGGTGTAAATAACTACAAGTATAAATACCGTCTAACATAATTTGTACTTAGTATAAGCATTTATTCCTGTTTGTATTTCCTCTGCCTTTTTATGTCTGTTTCTCAATCCCTTGTAAGGATACAATTGTTCTCATGTAGTTCAAAAGCTACAATAAATGTTTTCTGTTTTTTACCTGACTTTTTCAAAGTTTTTTTTTCTGCAAATGGCAAGGAAACCAATAAGGGTCAATGGGGGAGTCAATTTGACCCCAACACAAAAGTCGTAACAAAATTTGTACAGACTTTCCAAAACACATCTATGTGTCAAAACTTTGCATGCACACACATGACCCTAAATGAGAACTATTCACAAACATTCAAGAAGAAACAAATAGTTTAACCAGTATTTTGAGCAGTTTGAAAATCGAGTTTGGGTCGGATTGACCCCATCACACAATAGTGATGCCAAAAAAAACCATTTGAAATTAAATGGCTTACAAAATACACACAGACGTTTTTCTGGATGGTTTATACTGTTTGTCACACATAAGGTGCCAATAACCGCGAACTTTGAGTCATTTCATACAGTGAGAGCTGCATGTGTAGTGAAGTCGATGACACTCCACGCCACCAGAGGGCGCTGTGGAACAATCGGCGTTTGCAGCACTTTTCCCCGCTGCTTGTTGGTTCGATGATGTAATGAAGTAAAAGAAGAGTAAAGATGGCGGAGAATAGCGGCACGGATCCTGCCGTGGAGACTAACACTGAGGAAAATGCTGCCGCTAGCGCGACTATCATTAAGGTCACCGTCAAAACACCGAAGGATAAAGAAGAAATAGCCATCGCTGAGGACTCATCTGTCGCACAGGTGATTTTTTGGCGGTTTCTTGTTGTTTGTATCACCCGGGCGTTCGTTACACCAGCGGCTAACCTTAACAGCTTTAGCCGGAGAGCTAACGATTGACGACGAACAGTCCAACGCCGAAAATCGTCGCAGGGGATATTTAGAATGACCTCCACTTTTGCTATTGCTTAAATTAGGTTATTTTGAGTATCTTCTTAAAAGTTTTTGGTCTTTCAAAACGCCTGTAAAGTAAGGCTTTCTAACTAGCCGCTGTCGTTAAAGAAACGGCCTGCTCAGGCAGAAGGTTCTAGTCTGTCATCTTTGGTCGCGCTCTTTCTGTTTTGCTTTGTATTGTTGACTTCAAGAATATATGGATAAATTAAATAACATGTTAGGTAGCTTTTCCTGTAATGGTGATGCCAGCAGTGTTTATGCCAGTTCATTTGACCAGTTGCTGGTTAATGTTGATGTTTACGAGATCAGTTTTAATAAAAGAGACTGTGATGTTGCACAAAAGTGAGGTTTTATTGATCTGATTTCACGTATAACATCATAACCGCATGTTTATGTCCTCATAACAGTTTAAAGAGGAAATCTCCAAAAGATTTAAGGCGAAGCAGGACCAGTTGGTTCTGATTTTTGCCGGTAAGATCCTGAAGGATGGAGACACGCTCGGCCAGCATGGCATTAAAGACGGACTCACGGTTCACCTGGTTATCAAAACCGCACAAAAGTAAGATGATCTGCTTTTAAGGGTCAAAACACAACTGGTATTTTCATATGCAAAGCCATAATGTGTTGTAGGATAATGCCTGCGCATTATGGATGGCTCACATTTAGAGTGTTTTATCCTTTTAGGAGTTCAAGTGGTAGTTCGCAGACCTCTGCCTCTTCTGGCCCTGGACCATCACAGGGTAACACAGCTGAAACCGCTAACCCCAGCCCGGCCAGCAACCTTGGCACTCCCGAGGGCAGTGGGCCATCCCCAACCCCGACACAGCCACCCAATATACTAGGTTAGTAATGTTTTTAAGTTTGTTTATATTAGATGTCAACACGTTGTCTCTTTTAAATGTAATTTCATAATATTGTTGGTGTTTTGTGTTGCAACCAGTGCTGTTATAGTTAACTACAATTATCAACATTGTTTTTGTTTGTTGAATTAAAATAAAATCAGCCCTCTACGGACACCTTGGCAATTGAATCGCCATTGGCTAGTCAGAGAGTGTTCGGCGAGTGAAAATATATCTGTGCTAAACTTATACTTGGCCTCCAACTCACACACTGGCGAGTAAAATCTGAGAATTTATTAGCAATTGGCTAATATTAGACATAATTTAGTCGTCCAGAGTGAAGATTTAGTCGCATATGCGAGTGATTTACTCGCAATGTAGAGGGTTGTAAAATACAAATATCAGACGAAAAGCTTAAACTTAAACCTAATAGAAAATAAATGTTGCCTTGGCAACTAACTGAAATAAGTATTGAATAATTAAAATGACTGAAACTAAAACAAAAATATTTAAGTTTAAGTTTAATATTATAAAATAAATAATATTAAAAAACAAAAACTAATAAAATGTACCTATTTCCTAATTTATTCAAACTTGTATACACACACACACACACACACACATTTATATATATATATATATATCTATCTATCTCAATTTGAGTTTGTTTATATTGTGGATCAGCTCATTGTCTGTTTTTAATGTAATTTTACAATATTGTTGTGGTGACATTTTGCCATGTAGTATTTGTCCAGTTTATTGGCTGAATTTTTTTCTAAATTAGTTTCTTTTCTACAAATAATTGTTTGAAATACAAATACTGTGAATCCTAATGTAGTATTTTGTTCTTTGTAAGACAGTTCTGTAATTTTATTTTCTTTTGTTTTACGCTGGTTCTCCTTGTGTGTTTTCAGCTGGGTTTGGTGACCTCTCGGGCCTGGGTAACCTTGGGATGGGATCTGCCAACTTCATGGAGCTTCAGCAACAGATGCAGCGACAGCTCATGTCCAACCCTGAGATGCTGTCTCAGATCATGGAGAACCCGCTTGTGCAGAGCATGATGTCCAACCCTGACCTGATGAGGCAGATGATAGTGGCAAATCCACAGATGCAGCAACTAATGGAGCGCAACCCAGAGATTTCACACATGCTTAATAACCCAGAGCTCATGAGACAGGTATGTTTTTGGACTTGTACTACAGAATGGAAATTTACAAGCTAATTGATTTGTTTGCAATAATAAAAAGTGAGTGATATTTGTCTTCACAAAGTTCTTTATTCCAACTTGCACCAATAAAAGGTGTGCATTTGCTTCATTGCATTAAGGAACTGATTAGTTTTTAGTAACATTCTTTTTTTGCTTGTTAAGACAATGGAGTTGGCACGAAACCCAGCCATGATGCAAGAGATGATGCGTAACCAGGACCGGGCGCTTAGCAACCTCGAGAGTATTCCCGGGGGTTACAATGCTCTTCGGAGGATGTACACAGACATTCAAGAGCCCATGTTTAGTGCTGCACGTGAACAGGTCAGATACATTTAATGATTTAAAAAATATATTTATTTGAATTAGAAAATAATGTAATTTTAATTAAAATAAATAAAAAGGTTTTCACCTAAAATATTATTGAATTGATCAAATTCAAAGTCAAGTCTCAACACTCATTTGAAATGGCTTACAGTAAGTGTTAGGCAGGTTTCACACCGCAAGCATAAGCGGCGCGTGAGCAGTGCTGAAGCGATGGATTCGGCACAGATTCTGTTTTTGCTGCACCGCTCACGCTCAATTAAAGTGACAGCACACTTATGACTGACAAAATAAATGTGATTTCACACAAAATGTGCTAAAAATGCATAGAATTTAACAAGAATTGGACTGTCACAAAACAAAATGAAGAATCAAAAATATGTATAGAAGATTTATCCATTTAAACTTGTTTTTAATTTCAGTTTGGGTTGAAGTATGGTGTATTACTAAAAAAAAACAGCATGTTCTATATCGAAGTATGACTGAAACATCTGTTTTTGTTGTTTACTATGCGAATCCCCATGCTAACCAACTTTCAAGATTTTAAAACTTTCAAGTTTATAACTGACCAACTTCTAAAAACAAATTTATAGTTGTCTTTGTAAAGTAATATGTAGCTTTGTAGCCGCTGCTGTGACGCTGTACAAACGCTTCCAGTGTGAATACTCTTGTGAGTCTGACGGTGTAGTTACTCTGACGTGAAGCTGACACGAAGCTCAAGCTTGCAGTGTGAAACAGGCGTTATATTGCATCATCTTATGTTGAACAGTTTGGAAATAACCCTTTCTCGGCATTGGGTGGAAATACTGATAACTCCGGAGTACAGCCATCCAGGACTGAAAACAGAGAGCCCCTGCCAAATCCCTGGGGTCCCCCTGACACCACCACCGCCACCACCACCTCTGGGACGGCTAGCACCACCAGCTCCACCACAAGCTCAACCACACCCAGTGTGTCCAACCCTCTGGGCATCAGCTCCTCTAGCCTTGGAAACGGTAATGGCCGTTTATGTAAACATTTGGCTTTAATTTTAAAACCATGATGTTTTTTTTTTTTTTTGAGGATATGTTGTAGTAGAATTTGCAAGAAGATAATGTAAGAGCACAG